TTTCTTCTCAAGAGGTCAAATCAGCCGCCGCTCGAGCAGGGAGGAGGAGGGGAGGGGAGGGGTGTACAGATGGACTGTTTACAAAGGGCAGCGCTGCCACTGGCATGCTTCACATCCTCTGTCAGCTGACCTGCTCTCCCCACTTACAGGCGAGAGAGGGGGGGGGAGGGGAGGAGCGGGTAACTGACAAACTGTCGGGTTTGGCAGAGTGGACTGTACTTAAATAATCAGAGGGGAAAGTAGGACTTAAGTAACAGCAGAAAAGCTAAATTGTAAAAAATAATCTGGGGTCCTATTTATCCGTGAAAATCACAGCCACCAGCAAGACAATTTGACTCAGAAGCACAACCAGACAAAAAAGGTTTGTTTAGTCGAGTCTTTGGTGGAAAATCACTAATGAAGAAACTAAGTAAGTAGGAGGCGGGATGATTAGGGACAGCTGAGACTCATTGAGGTCAGGTGATCAACAGGGAGGGAAACACATCGGGTGAGGGAGTGAGGCGATTGGCCAGGGCTAGGATGTGACACTATTCTGCTTTTTGGGGTGTTCCCTTTCCTGTAGTGTGTAGTATAGGTTTTCTGAGCATGTAAACGGTCTGCAAAGGCTACAAACCCAAGTTTCTTCCCATTTGAAATATTCAAAATGAAATGTTACACGTCTGCCCGTCAGTGGCAACGCCGGAAATAATACCTAATGTGTGTCGAAACAAGCAGCAAGGGAAATGACTGAACATTTATTTACTCAACATGACATCAAAACTTATGTCATCATCACACACACAAAATCAAAAAGTAGTTTTAAGGCAGTGTGGTGGTATCTCCCAATTATCAGGAAATGATTTGCTCTCCAAACAAGCGCCAACAGGTTGAATTCAAACCATCCTCATCGATGCTTATGCGATCCAAATAGCCAAGAGGTAAGCCCTTACAACACAAACTTCAACTTCCTCACTGTTAATGAAGAGAACTGCTCAATAAATAATGAAAAACTAGATTACGTTGCTCAATCAGGTCGAACTGAACTGACTGAGGACTGCTGATCCTCTCAACCAGGAGCGAGGCTATCTGCTTCTGCTAACATATAAACCCAGACAGGTCACGATGGTGGCCGGCGTTCATCAACTAGAGGATTTTCTAATATCCTGCATGGCAAGACCCGAGCGTAATAATGCAATTAAGAAAGTGAGGTCTGCTGCAATGAGAATCTTTACTGTGGGACATTTGCTCCATTCAAAATTAATTAAATTAACCTAGCTTTCTGCTAATGTCGCACCGCGAGGCATTTTCATTTGCAAGAATCTCTCTCTTTTTTTTTTGGGTCAGTGGTGATTTTTATAAATTCTCTTTTACTGATAAACAAATGTCTCTATAAGCACCGGGTGGAGATCAGAGAGATGGACAGGTAACATGTGTTTTATGTGTTAGTTGTAAAATCTCCATTCAATATGTCTTAGGCTCTCAGAGTGCATTATCTGGATGAAAAGGCTCTTCTTTTACATAGAAATATAACATATTATAATATTTGTAATGATTAAAAACTAAATAAAAAGAGAAAGACATGGTATTAATAAGACAAATGTGTTTAATGATAATTTAAAAAAAAAAACGTTTTTTTTTTTTATGTAAAATAAATTCTCAAATGTGTTCTACTTTTCTGATTATTGGATTATTATTAAATTGTTTCAAGTATTTGAGTTTTTATTATTATTTTATGCGTTATAACCCTAAAGTTTTTTCAAATGCAAATAATAAAAAAAGGCAAATGATGTTCATTGTTTCATTTTTATATTTCAATGTCCATGACAGAGTGTTCCATTATGTGTGTTTTCTCTTGATCAACCCATTGCACCTTTTTCAAAACTGATTGTAATAGAGGGATGTTGTTCAGGTTGTACATGGGATGGGTGTGTGTGTGTGTGTGTTTGTGTGTGTGTGTGTGTATGGTGCAGGGGGGCTGCGTAGTGTACTGCGTCTCCCCCCCTCGCTGCGTCCGGAGAGTGGAGCCCTGAGGCCCGGAGCCTGGGAGGACGTGGGGAGGTCACTCCATACACACTGTCAGCAACACACACACACACACACACACACACACACACACACACACACACACACACA